AGGGCGCGAGGAATATAGTTGGCTTTCAAAAGAGCCATAGTGCAGAGAGAAAGAGAGGGAGTGAGAGAGAGAAAGAGAGAGAGAGCATGACTATAAGCCTTCTTGGTTATTAAGACGTTCCAACTGAAATATGACGTCCAACGGAAATAATTGCTCCACGCTCGAGCTTTCTTGCTCTCATAGCACCCAACGGCAGCGTGCCAGCAATCTTTAAATTTATGACATAGCTATTTCAAATTACGAACCTTTTCTCTCTCCCTTCAATTCATTTTTCTTTTTTTTTTTTTTTAAATAAATGTTTATAAGAATTTTTCCCAAAAATTCTCACCCCCTCAGGTGAAGTGTTCATGAAACTTGTTTATATAAACGACTTTCTATAAGTAGCTCCTCTCTATAGTATTATTATTATTATATATGCTAATAATTTTTTAGCATCCAAGTTTAAATTGTCATTTTAGTTGGTTGTATGTTTAGATATAAATAAACGATTTATTTCATGATCTTTTTTTTCTTCTTCTTCTTCTTATCGCAATTGTATATTATTAAAATTTATAAGAAATTTTAAATTTAATTATACCTTACTTTTTTTTTTACTCAGTTATTTTTTTTTTATTTATAGTGTATATAATATAATAATAATAATAATAGATGAAAATTGCTACGATTCAGAAACGTTTTAACTTGACGTTTTGATAGGTTTCAAGAACCATTCATTACTAATGTTCTACACATTCGTATTGTGTTTCAATTTGTGAAACAATCTCTCATGGACACTGATAATTTATGAACGTCCATTAATAGTTCATTTTGAAACGGGATTTCGATTATCATCGTCGGAGTTTAGACGGCTAAATCGCGATTACGCATATAGCAATATAAGTATATATATATATGTATAAAACAAGTCTCGACGTAACGAGGTTTTGCTCCCCCGAGTGTGTATGTGTGTGTATGCCTCTCTTCTCAATTGGATTTTTCTTCTTTCTTCGTTTAAGTCTCTCGAGTTCAGAAACTTAAACAGAAGAACCGCTCTCTAAAAGTTTCTTCGCGGCTGCTTCTATCTTATATAGTGTTCCTATGGCGCATGCCGTTAATGGCCAGCAAGCAATTATTGTCTTAAGCCAGGTGGTCTGTACTTATTAGTACCATAATACAACCAACCAAGTTATATGAACAAGACAGTATATATATATATATATATATATATACACGAACTGTGTAAACTTTTAACGATACAGAGAATATAAGGGGGTTAGGAATAGGTCGATTTACGGATAATTCGCATACGTGAAACAGTTAGATGATTATTGGTAAAATGGCAATTTATTTATATAAATTGAATTTAATCCGCGAGTTAACAGCAGCTGCTGGCCTTTTCCCATTTTTGTTTTATATTCTGTATAATAAATTTATATAATACCATTTTTGGTAATATTGCTTCTGAGCTTTTCTGCGCTCAACAGATTCTTCGACTTTTTTTTTTCTCAATATTTCCAACATTACTGAATTGTCATTTTGCCAAGGATGCAATTTTTTTTCATTTTCATTCTACAGAATCTCCATGTGAAATAGAAAGAACTTTTTCAATTGAATAAAAATTCAAATTTAATTTAAATTCAGCTAAATGACAATACGGTTTAATGGCAGCTTAGTGTCAATTCGATGAAATTTTAGTTAAATCAAGTGGCGATTCGGCTAAATATCAGATTAGTTAAATGGAAATTAGGTTAAATAACAGTTAAGTTAAATGGTAGTTTGGCTAAATAATATTTCATTTAAATGGCAATTCGGTTATATGAAAATTTAGTTAAATTTCAGTTTAGTTAAATGGAAATTTGGTTAAATGGCAATTCAGTTAAATAGCAATTCTTTTAAATATCAATTAAGACAAGTGACAATTCGGTTATATATGGCAATTCAGTTAAATGACATTTTAGTTAAATCGTAGTTTGGCTCAATAATATTTTCTTTAAATGGCAATTCGGTTATATGAAAATTTAGTTAAATGTCACTTTAGTTAAATGGAAATTTGGTTAAGTGTCAATTCAGTTAAATAGCAATTCTGTTAAATATCAATTAAATTAAGTGGCAATTCAGTTAAATGACATTTTAGTTAAATGGTAGTTTGGCTAAATAATATTTTATTTAAATGTCAATTCGGTTATATGAAAATTTAGTTAAATTTCAGTTTACTTAAATGGAAACTTGGTTAAGTGGCAATTCAGTTAAATAGCAATTCCGTTAAATATCAATTAAATCAAGTGACAATTCGGTTATATATGGCAATTCAGTTAAATGACAGTTTAGTTAAATAATAGTTTGGCTAAACAATATTTTATTTAGATGGCAATTCGGTTATATGAAAATTTAGTTAAATGACAGTTTAGTTAAATGGTAGTTTGGCTAAATAATATTTTATTTAAATGGCAATTCGGTTATATGAAAATTTAGTTAAATGTCAGTTTAGTTAAATGGAAATTTGGTTAAGCGTCAATTCAGTTAAATAGCAATTCCGTTAAATATTAATTAAATCAAGTGACAATTCGGTTATATATGGCAATTCAGTTAAATGACAGTTCAGTTAAATGGTAGTTTGGCTAAACAATATTTTATTTAAATGGCAATTCGGTTATATGAAAATTTATTTTAATGTCAGTTTAGTTAAATGGAAATTTGGTTAAGTATCAATTCAGTTAAATAGCAATTCTATTAAATATCAATTAAATTAAGTGGCAATTCAGTTAAATGACAGTTTAGTTAAATGGTATAGTTTGGCTAAATAATATTTTATTTAAATGGCAATTCGGTTATATGAAAATTTAGTTAAATGTCAGTTTAGTTAAATGGAAATTTGGTTAAGTATCAATTCAGTTAAATAGCAATTCTATTAAATATCAATTAAATTAAGTGGCAGTTCAGTTAAATGACAGTTTAGTTAAAGGGTATAATTTGGCTAAATAATATTTTATTTAAATGGCAATTCGGTTATATGAAAATTTAGTTAAATGGAAATTTGATTAAGTGGCAATTCTGTAAAATATCAAATAAATTAAGTGTCAATCTGGTTATATATGGCAATTCAGTTAAATGACAGTTTAGTTAAATGGAAATTTTGTTAAATGGCAATTCAGTTAAATAGCAGTTTAGTTAAATAGCAATTCGGTTAAATATCAGTTTAGTCAAATAGAAATTTAATTAAATATTAATGTACTTAAATGGTAATTTAGTTAAATACTAATTTGATTGAATAAAAATTAATTTCACATTACAATTTGGCTAAATAAAATTTTCAGCGAAATGGCAATTCTATTAAATTATTTACTATTCGTTTGAGGGAAAAATTTCATGCCGAAGAATTCAGTTAAATGGCAAATTGAAAGTTGATTATGTTATTATTCGATCAAATGTGTTGCATAATTCATTTTAATTTAATCAATTTTTCTTTATTAAATACACACTTGACATTATTTCAATCAAGTTATGCGAGGACGGTCATTAATCATCATCATCATCATACGGAAACAATTTCCAGCTGTGTGTTAATTAATTTCATATTTCTAACGCAATATAATTTTTAATTTATAGATAAATTTTTTTGTAATTAGAATATTTTCTAGAAATTTTGTTTTTATGCATCCTTAAATTAAAAAAAAAAAAAAAAAAAATACGTGTTATAGAAGAAGTTCCACTATATCATTTATAGACTTATTGTAATTTATTATAGACAACCAGTTTATTAATTAAAATATAGTAAATTAATAAATTTATATATACAAAGTGGAGATTTTATCGGATTTTTTAGTTTTTTTGAAAAAGAACGCGAAATTATTATATGAATATCAGAATGTTTTCTTTATCTGATAATGGTTATTTTTTGTTTTATTGTTTTTTTTTTTTGTTGATGACAGGTCATCCTCGTTAATTCACAGATGTGAAAGTCGAGTAGTGTATATGTCTTCATGATGAATGTCGAGAGATAGCGAGCAATGGCTACTGTACCAACTATATATGTCTTATTTTCTGACTTGACGTTAAAGGACTAAATTTTCTCAGCGTGTGATCCAAATGATGCAATTTAAATAATTGAATACAATTTAAATTGTCTCTTATCGTTCAAGAGTTTTTTTTTTAATTTTCTTATCAACTGTTGCATATATGAAGCAACCGCAAGGAACATTCTTCTTTATCTAAAAATTATTTTCTACTGTGCTATTAATACCTGATTTTCATATACATATGTATTTAATCTATAGTGAAGGTAGTACTTTCCATTTTTCCTTAGCTTTCGATAAGAAGTAAATGTATTTTCGTAATTAAGCTATGATTATGGTGAATAAAAAATTTAAATTATAGTATAATATTAATCATATACATTTATATAATTTTTTTCTTTTTTTAAAAATATTTTATGATTACATTCTTTTTAATGATAATTTTATATGAAATTTAATTAATTGTTGATAATTACTTTCGTTGTTTTTTGTAGTTTCGTATCTTTCTTTTTTTTTTTTGAAATTTTAGATTTCAATATGCTTCTGAGTTTGTATGGCAATTTTAACCATAGAAATGTGTAAGCTCTGTTTAGCAGTGATAAGGTTTACAGTTACTTGTGTTAGCAGACTATTTTGCTGTTTTGCTCGTAAATTTCCGACACGTGGATTACGTTGTACATTCAGAAATCATGGAATGTATTTCCTTGTGTATATATAGTGTATTCGAATTGCAATGTTTTCAAAGATCTCTTTAGTAAAGTTGCTGTATTTGTTAAGCAGCTTAACTGTACATGCAACAAGATTTCGTTAAACTTTCTATATATATATATATATATATATGTATCTTGCTCTTGTGTTATTTCTTCATTTTTTTATTCTCAAGCGCAAAAGACAAATGAGCAAAGTTTTAGATAAGCTACAATTTCATTCTAAAAACCTATGCGATTTTATATCCTTCCAAAAGAAATAAAACTGGTTTTATATAAGGGTGTGTAGAAAACCAAATAATTATTCTAAAATCGTATTTATTAAAATAAAAATATTAATTTTTTTTGTAAAAAAAATTTTTGTTTGCACAATTTCTATGATTTTTAAAATTATACATAAATAAATACTCTATTATATATTAACAGTTCAATTTTTAACAAATCGTATATATATAGTTATAGAAGTTAAAAACACTTTTTACATTTTTGTAACGGTTTTAAAATTTTTCTTAATTATTAATTTCTTTTGTTTTTGTTGACGATGAAAAATAATAATCAATGGCCAGCCATTCACTTCTTTTTTTTTGTAAATAATAATAATAATAATTATTATTATTATCGTATATTGTAATAAGCGAATACGTTAGTGTCAATAAATTTTTCAATTTTTTTCTTTTTTATTGACTGATTTTCTTGGCCAAAAATATTCCAAATTGTTATTGTATCACGACATGGTAGAGCTATAAGAATTTTTTGCAAATAAAAATATTACATTTTTTTTTTCATTAAGATGATTATATATATATATATATATATATATGCTTACCAAGCTTAGTGTGATCAGGATTCGAAATAATATTTAATATTTTAACATCCTTTTCAATTGGAATAAAATCAACAATTTTATCTAAATTTTCAAGTACAACAATTTTAACTTGTCGTTCACCTCGTTCGTAACATGACCAATGAACAATTAATTCGCCAGTTAATTTATTAAATAATAAATTTTCCACAGTCCCTGTAAAATCAATTGTACGATATTGCAATGGTTTTTGTACATTAACATTCCAAACTGATAAAGATCCATCATTGTGTCCACCACCAACGCAAAGAATATGATTGTTCCATGGATGCCAAGCAAGTGACTGAGATTAAAAAAATTTTTTTTTTTTTTTAATTTACAAGAATGTTTTATCTAAATATAATTAATTATATATTATTTATTTAGATATTTACCTTTATTCGTTTGTAATATTGCATATTCATATAGGGTTCAAAATCGGGCCAGAAAAAAATTTTTATCGATTTATCTTGAAATGTTACCGCTAGATATTTATCATTTGGTGATAGTGAAAAATGAATAATATCACTTTCACAATCTACTGTATTCTCAATCTTGCCAGTTTCTTCATTCAAATTAAACATAATTCCTGAACTGCATCCCCTATTAAAAATTGAATAAAAATAAAAATATTCAATATTTGGGGGGGTGGGGGAATTAACTTACCCTAAAATGAATTTATCTGTACTTGACCAACAAATGTTGACAATTTCACAAAATAAATATTCATCACATGGACAATTACAAAACCATTGTCTGTTCGCTTTTTTCTTATTCTTAGAGAAAAAAAAAATTTTCAATTAAAAATTATTTCTTAAAAAAAATATTTAAAAAAAATATAATTACTTCAAGTTTAGCTTCTGTTCCTTTTGTTCTTAAATGCTTCATTGTAATTTTAGAGATATTACTTCTGTATTTGTGTCCAATTGCAAATTTACTACCTATATTGCAAAAAAAAAAAAAAAGAAAATAAATATACTGAAAAAAAAAAAATTTCTTGCGCCCTACCATCATTATTCCATTTAACAACAGTAACATAACCGCTATTGTCATAATTTTCATAATTCAATTTTGAAGGAGAATCAGCATCGAAAACACCAACACCACCGTCAATTGCCATGACGATATAATTTTGTTTACCCCAATCAACCAAATGTCTTCCGCGTATAAAAAATGGAAATCTAAATATTTCTGCAAAAAAAAAAGAAAAAAAAAATTTTATTCAATTTTATTACACTATTTTACAAGGGAAAAAACATACGTAAGTGACATACTTATGTATGTTTTTTCAATTGTAGACGGTATATTGTAATTCAAAATAATATTAAATTCTAAACAAATTCAAATTTTTTTTTTTTTTTTTTTTTGAATCAGAACTTAATAATCAATTTGAATTGCAATGAAAAAGAAGTAATATCATTTACGTGGAATTTGGTGATTAACATTATCACCTTTGTGTGATGAACACATTAATGGTTTTTTACGAGGTCGACATTGCCATAATTTATCATTGTTATTTATATTGTTGTTATTTTGTAAATTTTGCTGTTGTCCTGGAAATATGTTTAATTCCAATAATATTGCATTCATACCCCGTTTACGCCATTCAGTTGGTAATGACTTTATCTGAAATAAAAAATAAAATAATAAATGAAAAGATAGTAGGAAATTTTTTTAAATTAATTTAATTTAATTATTTTTAAAAATAAAAAAAATTAAGTTAAATGTAAATTTATTTATTTTTTTTTTTGTATCTTTGGATGGGTAATCTAATTTCTTTTCGTTCTTTTATTTTATAAACCATTTCAATTGAAATTACACTATTATATGCCTAGTAAAATTAAAAGAGACTCGTGTTTTCTTATTTATAATAATGAGCCTTTTATCTATAAGCTATATGCAACTTTGTACATATATATATATATATATATATACTTTGAAAGCGAATTCAACGTTTATTTCTTATCTGTAATTAACCTTTTTATGATTGTGAATACTTAACAAAATTTTTTTTTTTGTATTCAAAAGTGAAGTTTCTTGTGCATCTCCCCATATAGTATATAATAAAAAAAAAAAGAAAGAAACAACAGACCTTTTTAATAACATGCGTTTCAATTAAATTGAAACATTTTCTCGTATGGGTATTTTTAAAGAGTCATATAATGATTTCTACCAAATTGGCAGTAAAGATACTGTGGCGCAATAAAGGTCTTCATTAGTTGTTATACATTTCTTCTAAAACATTTTTCATTGAATTTAGTTGAAATTAAATGTAATTTTCATTTCCCTTGCAATTAAGCTGACACTTAAAATGAACCTCGTTTCTTGTGTGTCAAATGAAAAGAGAGACAGTAAAATATACAAGTTGGAGAAAAAAAGATGGTGACAATAATGTTTTTACATTAACATTTGAGAAAAATCATTTTTACGAATGAAAACTTTAATGGAGAAATGAAAATTCTTTATACGCTGAAATGAAATATACTTTATTCTTGATTTTAAAAATATTTTTCAAATTAAAAGTATGTTCAATTTATTTATTATTAATTTAATATTAATAATTAAGAACGAGTATAATAATTAAATATAGTTATCATAGTAACCCCACTTGGAAAGATTTCCCGGAAAGTGCCTCCTGGAGGTTCTATCAGAATTCCGCCGGAAAGTTCCAACGTAATTCCATCGGAATTCCATCGGAGTTCCAAAGAATTTCCAATGTGATTCCGATGGAGTTCCGACGGAATTCCGATTATTTTTTTTTTCAAAATTTTATAGTCCTAATTCCGTCGGAATCCCATCGGAAATTCTTTGAGAACTCCGATGGAATTCCGACGGAATTAAGTTGGAAATTCCGGCGGAATTCTGATAGAACCTCTAGGGGGCACTTTCCGGGGAATCTTTCCAAGTGGGGCCGTTTATATGACAATCGTTACCATAGCATCCGTTACTATAGAAACCGTTAAATTAAGTAATTATTATTTTTTTATTGAATTTTAAAAATATAAATAAACTGATTTTGTAAAAAAAAAAATCATTAGAGAATTTTGTTACACAAAATGCAAATACGCGAAATATATTGTCTGGAATAATGGGGAGTTTCACTTCGTTATGGAGTGGCAACATAAATGACATGTGACGTTGCGTGGGTAACTAAGTCGCGTCAGTGGCAATTAAGTATATAAATCCAACATTTTCACTAAAAACAAAAAAAAAAAAAAAAAGTAAATAAAGTAACGCGACTGTATATAGTAATAAATTTTTCATTTTGACATTATTATATATTATGTATTCAATTAAGTTATTCATTGAGAATTTTTTACTATATATTAAATTTATAAAAAAAACTATCTATATTTACGAGAGACAAGTATAATCGAGAAGAAGAACGAAGTAGTTTATTTATTTAAAGCAAAGAAAAAAAACCAATTAAAACTAACGTACTTGCTTACAACGACGTAGGAAACTGAAAAATTTTGCTGAACAACAACTGAAACGATATATCCTCTTATACTTAAAATTAATATGTATTATGCTAATTACTTAACGATTATTCAAACTTTTATATGTTTATTATTCTTCACTTGTGTACACCCAAGAAGAATTATCGCGCGCAGGAGCATTTTAATTAGTAAAAAAAATATTTTCAGCACCAATAAATCATTTTCAATATACATATATATATATATATACAATAATACATTTTTTCGAAAAACAAAAAAAATTAAAATTTGCATTTATACCTGTTCCAATACTTGTAGTTCATTTTCATTCTTTATTTTATTCACTTTTCCTTCAAAATGAAAATTAAAGGCATTTGACTTCAATGATTTTCTCTGTGGAATGAATCTGTCACCGACAAATTTTTGTTTATATAATTCTTTTCCTGTCCATGTATATACATTTGCAGGTATTGTTTCAGGTAAATTTCTTTCCTCAACGCGGCTGACATCCTAAAAAAAAAAACAACAACAATTAAAAATATAAAAATCATTTTACATTCTTTTTTCCTATATATTTTGTTTAGTCAAAAATTTCTTTAAAAAAAAAAAGTTTCTTTAAATTATTATTGAAAATAAAAAAAACTTCAAAAAATATTTCTTTAATATAGGAAAAAGTGTGTAAAATTTTTAGTAACCCAACACAAATTAAATATTGATTAAATTAGTCAACTAACTAATTAATATTTTATTATATATAAAATCGAAAACACAAAGAATTTTCATTTCTTCTTATAATATATATTGTAAATTATTATTTAAAAAAATCAAAAAATAAATATAAAAATATCTCTATTATAAAACCAAAGTTTTTATAATATATAAAAACAATTCAGTAAAAATAAAAATGTTTATAAAATAATTATAATTTATATAATTATACAATTAGCTATTTAATTATTTTATTATTCACTTTAATTATTTGCATCAAAATAAATTTTTGAAAAACTTTTTTAAGAAAATAAAAGTTCTTTTTTAATTTTTAACAAGTGTTGTCAAGAAAATTTTTTTAAATTTTTATTTTAAAAATTATTAATTTTTTTATATAAAAATTTAATTTATTTTTAGTTTGATCGTTTTAAATTTTTTTTGCTTTATTGCATATCTGAAAACAATAAAAAAAAAAATTGCAAAATGTTTTGGAATTAGTCTCAGGAAACTTTTTGTTTAAATAATTTTACCCACAAAAAAGCAAAATAAAATACCTATTTTAATTTTTAAAAATAAAATCAAAGTGAAAAAATTTTTATAAAGAAAATATTTAAACATAAAAATTCATCAGGTTCACTCTAGAATTTTTTGTAAACTAGTATTATAATTAAAAAGAAAATCTATTTATTTATACTCTGGTATAATACTGAAATTTTTGGTTGGGTAAATAGAGTAGAAAAAAAAAATATATATATATATATATAAATTCATCAGAAGGAAAAAGCGAGTGGAATAAAAATTTGAATTTCGAATGAGATATGTTGTGAAAAATCGTAATCTATTGAAAATAAGTAACAGATAATATACACAATAGAAGTATTCAAATTGAAAGGGATGAAAATTTATATAACGAAATTTCACACGGCTATATGTGTTCTATAGAAGTTTTACTTCGTAACAAGTGGTTATTGTGTATATATGTATATATATAAAATGTAAACGGAATAATTGTTAGTGGTGAAAAAGTAGAGGGGGTAACCATTTAGGAAAAAAAATATTTCAGACATAAAATTCCAAAAATTTTATCGAGATTCACTATATATATACATAGGGATGCAGAGGGTATATAGAGAGAGAGAGAGAGAGGGAAACTTCCGGTCCTTTGGGGGTAATATGTGTTACCAGGCATTATGCAAGTCCCGTGAAGTGAAATTTTTCGTTGGTAAAAGGGGTAATATTTATCTCGGATGTTTCACCCTCTTGTACCCCCAACGAACATCTGGACACCCGTAATGGATGGACCCAGACCTTATTTCGATTTTTTTTTTTACGTTTCTTTTGTATATGAAAAGATTATAGAAAAATTTTCTTTTTTCTAAAATTGAAAAAATTTTTAATTTTCTAAAATAAATTTTTATACCAAACAAAGACGTGGATTAATTTAAAATATAAAATATTCGCAGCTATATTTTGCGTTTCATTTCAGGGGAAAGAAAAATCAGGTTTTTAAATATATGATTACAAAATAGTGACATATGAGTGAATTGTCCCTGTTTGTTTTATACTCAACCCTATATACCACAAAACGTTATACCAAAATATTTAAATTTTTTTTATTACGATACTTAATTTTCTTTTTTATTGCGCTTTCAACAGGGTATTTTTTTTTCTAAATTTATTGTTTTTTAAATAATAAGAAAAATAAAATATTATAAATAAATTATAATCACAAGAAAAATGCGGTAATTATGTAATGTAAGAAATGGAAATAATTTTTTTTCCCCAAAAATTCTGTAAATATTACATTTATTCAATTGTGAAAAAATAAAGTAGAAAAATTATTAACTATTGCAGTAAGTAGAGAAAAAATAATTTTTTTGCATTAAAATTTTGTTTATATAGTATAAGATTGATCGAAAAAAAAAATGACAAATGGTGGCGAGTCCTAGATGAAAAAAACATTGCTCCCATTTTTTTTCAGGGGACTTTCAGCTTTATGCAAATATTACAAAAACGCTATATATATATATATATATATATATATATTTTCTTTGCTGCCAGAATATGCCAATGTTCTCTCTCTCTCTCTCTCTCTCTATATATATATATATATATATATATATATAGAGAGAGAGAGAGAGAGATTCTGGCAGCAAAGAAAAATTTTGTCAACCACGCGATATGGAGATAGTCACCTCTTCTTCTCTCGCACCCCATAAATTACTATATATAGATATACATTTAGCGACTAAGAAGATTCTCTCTTAAAAAATATCATCGCGTGCCCATCTCCGTGGGATGTCCCGCGAACCTGAATTTCTTTTAAAGAGTCACATGGTGAGAGATAATAAAGAACTAAAAATTTTGCGTTTCACACATTTGTTATATAATATAACCCGTTTTGTCACAGCAAAGAATTAAATGTCATTCTTACAACGAATATACATTCCAGCCTGTCATAATTCAAGGTTTGAATTAAATAATATATTACTGCTGTTCTTTTTTTTTTTCTTCTTCATTATAATACCTCCTTTTTGTTGTTGTTGTTGTTACAATTACATTTCTCATTTTTTTCCATATAATAATAATTACGCGAAAACAAAATTTATTTAAATTAAATTTTAAAATTTATTTATTAATTTATAAAGTCTCTATTTTGTAAAAAAAATATATTTTTACCCTCTTATATTTTATTATTCACATTTTAGAAAGTTTTTAAAACAAGCAAATATTTCTATACAACTTTCTATAAAACTCTTATATTATAGATTTGAAACTATTTCTCGAGGGTAAAAAAAATTTCCGTGAAAGTTGAATTATTTCTCAATTAACGTTTTGTAATGTTGCGTATAAAATTTTTTTTTGTCTTTTGTATTAAAAGCTTTTTCAAGTACACCCACCTAACCTTCGACATGTTTGACTACGACCGTTCGATGTAGAACTTGTCTATACAAGAGAGCGAGGGAGAAATAAAATTCAGGATATACACACACATATATATTTATATATATATATATATATATGTATAAGATTCACATCCGTGATGTTGAGCGAATGCGAGGGGCGTAAAAAAATTTTACATCTCATGTTTTCTGACCAAGTTCTCGCCATGTGAAAACAAACTGTCTTGACCTTATTTTTATTAAAGCAATTGACATTTCACTCTATTTTCATTTTAAAAACCACAAACATTTTCTGCTTTTGAGAGCATGTTTGAAACTGAAAAATAAATTTTAGAACGAAATATATATTTAATTGTACACGGAAAAAAAATATTCGGCTTTGAGTTATATGAAAAATAGCAAATAAATTTACTTTTGAAAAAAAATTTGATTATAATAAAATTGTAATTATAATTTATTATAAACTCCAAAGCTAATGATATATATTTGTCTCAGGCTATAAATAAATATTTATTTGTTTCAAATAAATTTTTTTTCATTAGAATATTTTATTGCTGTTATTTAAATACATTAGGATCAGCCGGGGTAAATCCGAACGCTAATTATTTCAGCTTAATTAAAATTTAAAAAAATAAGTTAGACATGAGAATTTTTACCTCAGATCCTCTTCAAGAGATTCTAAGTATTACACTGTAAAAAAGGGAGTTAAAATTTAACTCCCTAAGGGACTCTATAAAAGTCGCACCCTTTTTAGAGTTAAAGCAAAGGGAGTTCAACTTTAACTCCTTACACGAGTTGAAGAATATGATCCTCCATTATAAAATAACTCAAAAGGGAGTTGATACTGCACTGTTAAAAATCGGGCTTCAACTTTACACTAAAAAGATTGAAATAATATATTTTTAATCCGAAAAGGGTAAATGTTTGCATGTCATTGGTTGGACAAAAAACTTTAAGCCAATGAAATAAAAACATTCGCACTTGTCGAGATTGAAAATATATAATTTCAATCTTTTTAGTGTAAAGTTGAAGCTTGATTTTTAACAGTGTAAACTCCCTAACCTGAACTCCCTTCCACTATTGGTTAACTCCTTTTTCGAGTTGATTCTTAACTCGAAAAATCGAACTCCCAACTCCTAGTGCTGTTAACTCCCTAAATTTTTTACAGTGTATCCCATAACGAGTATTGCAAAAAAGATTGACAATCAAATATGACACTCTTTTAGTATTTTGTCTCGTATTTGACACGGTGCGCTAGAAGCAAAAATAGGTATCACAAAAATGCGGATAAAAACGGTTTGTGCAGCATGATTTGTACATATTTATAGGTTCAAAATCCGGTTAAAATGAAATCCTACCAGTTCCCGTTTCCGAGAAATTCATAAAAATCGTTCTTTTTTTTATTATTTCAAGTTCTTGAATGTAATAATTAATATCCATTGAATTTTTTTGGAACTTTTGGCTAAATTTATTCAAAAATATATATTAGAAGTTATTCTTTTAATATATTTTTATATAATTAGTGCATATAAATTCGAGAAAAGGAAGATTTTTAACAAATGAAATAAAGAAAATTTTGAATTACGTAATAAATTTATAAGATTTTATAGAGGCATAATTTTATTTTTAATTGAACAAAATATAAACTTTAAATCCATATAACATTAAAATTTCTTTTTAAATATTTAAAAAACAATTAATAACGACGTAACATTTAAACATGTTCTGAAGAAAATTCAACTACGGCCTTCTTTAATTTTCATTTAACCAAACAAACTGACAACACATTATTTATTGTCATTGAGGTTGCCATGGTAACTATTTAATTTAAAAAAAAATTATCCTGCGAGAAGTTTCCACTTTATGAATTAAAAAGAATGTTATTCTTTTTCATATTAA